CATCTATCTATCCGTCCATCCATCTATCAATCTCTCTGTCCTATCAATCCATCCATCTCTATCTCTTTATCCATGCATCCATCTATATCTATCTATCTGCCTGCCTGCCTGCCTACTTATCTATTTCTTTCCATCCATCCATCTGTATCTATCTATTCATTCATCTATCATCTACCTACCTATCTATCCATTATCTGTCTGTCTGTCTGTCTGTCTCTGTCCTCCTCTAGATCCAGCCATCTCTATCACTATCCATGCATCAATCTATATCTATCTATCTATCTGCCTGCCTGCCTGCCTATCTACTTATCTATTTCTTTCCATCCCTCCGTCCATCCGTCCATCCATCTATCCATCTATCTATCCATAAACTTTGTGAAGAAAATTAATTAAAGGTTATTTAATCCAGAGGTCTACGTCCTAAGTATACTTAACCTCTCAGTATTTTGATGGCTAGACACAACTCTTCTGACTTTGCCCATGTTAACATTTATTCTCTCTTACACTCTTCAGCTGTTCTCATATGGCTTTTCTTTCAGATATATACTCCAAATTTAACAAACTGCCTCCCACATCTTGCAGCGATTGGACAATTCAAGAAAATGAAACTATTCAAAGTTTCCATCCATTGCAAGATATTGGGCTTGTTTGTGGATGAACCTTTATCCTTTCCAGCCCACGTAAACTCTAAAAGAAATTATCATTTCATTTACTTTTTTTTTTTTTTTTTGGCTAGGCTACAAACAGCCTTGTCCTGAAAACATTCCACCTTTTCTGGAGTGAGGCTTGCTTGTCCCAGCATACAATGTCAAGGAACGTTGCCCAAACATGGCTAGGTTTTGCAGGCAAGTCTACTCCTGCATAGCAGGTGTGTGAGCTCTGTTTGGGGAGACTTCAAAAGAAACCTTATGTTCCATTTCTCAAAGGTAAATATTTCATTGGCTGAATTAGGAAAACAAATCTAATACGTGTGTTAAGATTAGATATATAATCTTGCTTTCTTATTTTACACACACACACACACACACACACACACACACACACGTAGTCCTCGACGAATGACCACAATTGAGCCCAAGCTTTCTGTTGTTAAGCAAGGCATTGATTAAGTGAGTTTTGTCCCATTTTACGACCTCTCGGCCACAGTTTGTTAAGTGAATCACCTGCGTTGTTAAGTTAGGAACACGGTCGTTAAAGCTAAACTAGTCACCCCGTTGACTTTGCTTGTCAAAAGGCTGCAACAGCAGGGGTGGGATACTACCGGTTCTGTCCACCTCTGTAGAACCGGTAGTTCTGAAGAGCATCAGACAGAGAGCATACATAGAACTGGTTCTATGTCTGCTGCTGTTGTGGCCCGCCTGCCCGCCCGGGCTCTTACGTGACCTTTATTTCCTGCTTTTTCAACCGCAGCTGCTTTGCGTGGCATAGCTGTGGTTGAAAAAGCAGCAAAAAGGGCTTTTCCAACCACTGAGCACTTGCACGCAGTGCTGCTCAGCTGTCCGGGCAGCTGAGCAGGTTGCAAATTGCACTCGCACGACTCGTACGACTCACGCATGCATGTGTGATGTAGAGCGACAGAACCAGTAGTTATACCGGTCGGATCCCATCCCTGCGCAAGAGTGGAATCGTATTATTCCCCCAGGACACTGCAGCCATCGTAAATATGAGCCAGTTGTCAAGCATCTGAATTTTGATTACGTGGCCATGGGGAATGGTGCAAAAGTCATAAGTAGGAAAAACATCTCTTTTCAATGCTGTTGTAACTTCAGTCACTAAATGAACTGTTGTAAGTCAAAGACTATATCC